TCCTTCCCCCGTAACCACCGTAATCGCCAGCTGCTCACAATTCCATCAACCCAAAAATCATCCAAAATGCTCGCCCGCACCCTCCGCGCCGCGGGCAGCACAAGCCCATCCCGCAGCTCCAGCATATCCAACCAGCGCCGAACAGCCTGCTCCTCCTCGTCTTCAGCACCAGAAACGGTCCCCTCCTCCCCGATCCGCGTCTTCCGCAACGTCTCCGCCCTGCGCACCTGGCGCCGCCCGCACCTCCTCAACTACCGCTCCGTCGGCCTCGTGCCCACCATGGGCGCCCTGCACGACGGCCACCTCTCCCTCATCCGCGCCGCCGCCCGCGAGAACCACCACGTCGTCGTCTCCATCTACGTCAACCCCGCCCAGTTCGGCGTCGCCGAGGACCTCGCCTCCTACCCGCAGACCTGGGCCCGCGACACCGCCGTCCTGCGCGACCTCGACCGCGAGCTGGCCGGCGACGGCGCCAACCTCGGCCGCGTCAGCGCCGTCTTCGCCCCCACCACCGCCGACATGTACCCCGCCGGCTTCCCGGGCCAGGAGCCGTCCAGTAAGGGCAGCTTCGTGACCATCACGCCCGTCGGCGAGGTCCTCGAGGGCGCCTCGCGGCCGACCTTCTTCCGCGGCGTGGCCACCGTCTGCATGAAGCTGTTCAACATCGTGCAGCCCGAGCGCGTGTACTTTGGCCAGAAGGACGTGCAGCAGACGGTCGTGATCCGGCGCATGGTCGAGGACTTCATGCTGCCGACGGAGGTCGTCGTCGGCGAGACGATGCGCGAGGACGACGGGCTGGCGCTGTCCTCGCGCAACGTGTACCTCGGCGCGCGGCGGCGCAACGTAGCCACGGTGCTGTCCCGCGCGCTGCGGGCCGCCGAGGAGGCGTACACGCAGGGCGGCGCGCTGGAGCGGGACGCGATCCTCGGCGCGGCGAACCAGGTCGCTGCGGGGGTGCTCTCGGAGCAAGCGAAGCTGGCGCCGGCGGAGCGGGTCATGTTCGAGGTGGACTACATCTCGCTGGCGGACCCGGACTCGATGCAGGAGATCAACACGGTGGTGCCCACGAAGGGGGCCATCCTCAGCGGTGCGGTCAAGATGTTGCCCGTGGAGGAGCCGCAGCCCGGCGAGGACCTCGGACACAGCGGCGGACCGTCGGTGCGACTTATTGACAACATTATTCTAAAGCCAAATACCCAGTAGGAGTTCAAAGGTTGGATGGAAGGAACGTAGGGTAGCAGTGGTCGAATCCCACGTTTGAATAGACTTGACCACAAAGAATGCCATTTTTGAGGATTATCAACACATTACCGCAGCCAAGCACCTTCCGGCGCAGCTTATTAGGCTGGCCGGTCTCGACAACAAGGCATATATGAGGGCCACAGGGTAACCTCCGCGTCCATTCAACGCTGTACGTGAGAGACATCCCTGGAACCCTCATATATGACTCATTGACGCAACCGACCAGCCTAATAACCTGCGCCAGCAGAGGACCAACGCTGTGCGACTTCTCGACCCGGCCATCTAAGAAGAAAACAAAGGACAGGATGAGAACATCGTAATCATATCATACCCGCTTTACACGTTTACAGTAATACAAAATTTACAAATGTGCTCGGTTCTCCAGTGACCTACGCCTCCTCTGCTCCTTGACACTCTTCTTAAGCTGTCTCGCGTCCTCCATACTAAGGGTCGGCGACGCCCCCTTTTTATCCCCAGTCTTGGCGGCCTCGAACAGCTTGCTGCCGAGCAGATCCGTCAGGCGGAGCACGCGGGTACTAACGGTGGCCCCGTCACGACGGTTCTTGCCTTCACGTCGGCTGGAGGCGATCTTCTCGGTGAAGTCCCAGAGACGACCCGAGGCGTTGAGGGCGCCCGTCTCTGGATCGCGCGTGGGACACCATTCGGGGTCCAGACGCAGACGGGGTGGAACCTTGGGATCCTTGGATTTGACAACTTGGAGAATACCTTCTTCCTCGAACCGCTGGTACGCGTTCTTGAGGGTCTCCTTGTTCACAGCTTCGAAGTAGCTCAGGTCACCCTGATGGTAGAGTGTCTTGCCGAGCTGGAAATGTGTTAGTTGTGTGACTCTATGCTTGCCTGAATTTGACTTACCACTTGTGCACTGCTTTGGGCTTTGCCGACCTCGATCCAGATATCGTCCTTCTGGCCAAGCGGTGTTGCCAGGCCCATCAGAGAAACCGCTGCAAGCCAACTGGCCTCGATGAACGGCCAGATCAAGAAGCAGTAGAAGTCGTAATTTTCCCGTCCGACCATTCTCTCATGATCCGATAGGCCAACTACCACGACCTTGCCCTCCTCGTCTCGGTGAAGCTTGAGCACCTTGTCCGCCTCGAGGTCGCGCAGCGTCTTTTCCAAGTTCGCTGCCAGACCGTCGCTGGGGAAAATGAACTCGCCACGGAACAGAGACGAGAGAAACTGAATCTGGTCCTGAAGCTCCTTGAATGAGATATCTTGCATGGTGGGGCCACCTCCCTGCTTGACCTTCATGTACATTGCGGCGCTCACTATAGCTTCCGAGATGAACAGATGGATAGTCATGTTTCGGTAGAACGAGAGTTGGAACCTGTCAACGGCATAGTAGGTAGGTTCTGGAAGATCTGTTACGACGCCAACCAGATCCTTGCCCAATACCTCCAGGCCACGCTCGATAATGTCGGAGAGGGGCGCATTTCCAAAGTGGGCAACACGACCGCCCTTCGCCCGGACTCGGTCAGTGAGCCAATTGACGCGACGTTCGAGCTCCGTCTTGCCTACGCCTCTGCCTCTGAGGGTGAGCAGCACGGTGCCGATCAGAGCAGTAGGCATAACCACGGAAACATCATTGATGTCTGACAACACCTTGTAGCCGAGTGTGCGCAGGAGCTTCTGGCGGATTGCGGTATTCTCGGGGTTCTTCGTATCCAGGTTGAGGCCCGTAGGTAACCTGGACAGCCTTACAAGCTGCTCATTGATGAACCCACGCAAACTCCAAGGCTCATGGAAGCGAACATCGACTCTGCCAAGTCTCAAGGACAAGACGGATGAACCTCCAGAGACAAAATCTGCGAGGTTCTCCTTCTTCTTGGGTACGCCAAGCAACTCGGTAACGTAGCCCTCCGTCTCAATGACCTTGTCGTACTGTGTGCTGACTGGGCAGATAACGGCGTCTTCGACTCGACCTGACAGGATGCTGTCTAGGATGAAGTTGAGAATACCAAACTTTGGAGGCAACAGCTTGCCTGTCCTTGAACGGCCACCCTCAATAAAACACTCAAAGTTATAGCCTCCCTGCAGCAGGGTGTCGATATACGTCTGCACCAATGTCGTGTAGAGGATATCATCGCCGAACGACCTCCGAATCCACATGGCACCGGCATGTTGCAGGAAGCTTCCGACTAGAGGGAAGTTGAGGTTGTCTCCGGCCACGACAACCGGCAGGCCGAGTCCTAAGCGGTAGCAGATGAGCTGCAGCGAAACATAGTCGACATGCGATCGATGGCAGGGCAAGAAGATGATGCTCTGCTTCTTCCTTTCGGCCTCCTCCGCCACCTTTCGTAGCCTCAGAACCTCTTCGCTTGAGACGTGGATGCCTTGGTGATATGCGCGCAGAGTCAATTGCGTGACGAGGTAGTATGCGCTTCGGATAAAGGTCTTGCTTTCGAACTTGCAAATCATGTCGTCGGTCATTTTCTCGGCCACCTCCTGGATTCCGGTCTCGATGGCCGCCCTTCTCCGTGCGCGCTTCAACTCAAAGTCCTTGTCATTCTTGTTCAGTAGGCCCTCCTTCTCCTCGACAGCGATGCGCTTCTCGGCGAGGTCGGTGATGCGCGACTGTAGTAGTGGCGCCGACAGCACGGCATCCTTGATCTTGTCGCTAAAGCCAGAGTAGAAGATGGGTTGGCCGATGGCATTATCGTAGGCGCGCCAGCCGGTGCCGGAGACGTAGAGGGAAACTTCGCGAAGGAATCTGGCGCATAGGCTAGTTAGTGTTGTTCCTGGATCCAAAAGGGACCAAACTGCATGTGGACATACTGCAGAGGCTCGGAGCGAAAACGGGCCATGTGCTTCATCAGGGCCTCCTCCTTCTCGTCGTCGCGTTGGGTTTTGATGTAGCCGCTGGGCTGGAGGGTGATTTGGTCGCCGAGGATCTTCAGATCCGGCGCGGAGTCGTCGTTTTTAACCATTGCGGTGGCGGGTTGGGGTATCGTGGGGGAAATCGGGTATCGTCAAGTCGTGTCGAGTGCGTGGAATGGAATTGTTAGTCCTAGATACTCCGAAGCAGTCCGTTCAAGGTCCTTGCCATTGCCGAGTGTCGGTCGAGGAAGACGGGATCCCTTTTCTCGAACAGGACTGACTGCAAATGACGTTGGAGATTGACGGGCTACCCAAGTGAGTGTGGTAGTAGTGGGAAATGGTGGAGGAAGAGAGCGTGGGAAGTGTTTTGATCGTCTCTCCTCCCAGCAGCTCCTTGCTCCTTGCGCCGAGCGTAGCCAGAACCAAAGAGTCGCAGTGTCATGCCGCGGGACATTGGGTGGACCGTTGAGGTCAAGTGCCACCCACCCGGACCACTGATCCGCGTCCGCGCTTGCTGCCTCCCACCTGCTCCCACGCTGTCTCCAAGCCGAGCTCGAAGCCCTTTGGCGGCTTTAGCGTTTTCGGCATGTGAAGACAGCACTGCCAATCCTTGCCGCTGCTGCAGGTGCCACTGATGGATGAGCCAAGCAGCGGGCAGCGACAGCAACAGCGGCAACAGCAACAGTGACTGGCCAGCACATTGCCAGCCGGCAGGCCATCCTGGTTCCCGCCCCACCACCCAATGGAAATGGAACCTGGAGGCACTAACATTTAATTTTATTTTCCGCAGCTTCTCCAGGAAATCGCATGCGCCTGGTTCTGCAGAAGCAGCCTCGTCACAGTCATCAGTCGCAACCGACGTCAACCAATTCTTCGCCAGGAAAATAACAACCTGAGCAGTGTCGCGAGGACACACAGACATCATGGCTCCGTCAAATCAGCCCATAACCCAAGCCCTCCTCGCCCGAGCGCACTCACCCGACACTGTCAACCGCATCTTCACAGACAAGATCCAATACCGACCCCTCTACCTCAGACCAAGCTCCCCGCCCCCGTCGAACCCGAGATCAGCCCGCCGAAAAGCCCGCGAAGAGGCCAAGAGGAAACAAAAGCTCAAACCCAAGCCGCTCTCCGCACGCGACCGACGGAGGCGCGGCCTGCACGACGTGCCCCGCGATGGCCAGAAATACGCCGTCTTCGAGCCCCTCCACCGCTTGTGGCTAGGATACATTGAGGAGATCCTGGGATCCGAAGTCTACGGTGGAGGAAGCGGCGCCGCTGCGAAGCTGACCGCCGCCGAGTTCCACGGCGCCGAGGTCGAGGTCTCCCGCAGCTCGTGCCCGAGCCGTGTCGGCATCAAGGGCATCGTCATCAAGGACTCCAAGTTTTCGTTCGAGGTCATCACGCGCAAGAACGAGATGAAGATTGTGCCGAAGGAGGGGACCTGGTTCAAGGTTGAGATACCGGTGAAGGAACCCAGCCCCAGCGCTGATGCTGATGCGACGGCTGAGGGAACCCCACGGCGGTTTGTCTTTGAGGTTCTCGGCGACCAATTCCTCATGCGAGGCGCGGATCGGGCCAACAAGAAGTTCAAGAACCACTACTTGAAGAACATCTGACGCAACACAGAAATTGTTCATTGCACAAGTTATGATACCCATACGACAGCTACGGCCGAGCCGAGAACGAGGATACGGGCAGCGATACATCTGCGGCCCAGGAGCCGAACAGATACCGTTACAGCACCCCGGACTGGCTATGAAAGCATTGCGCCACTCAAGCATAGCGTGCTAGCCCTCACGGGCCCTCAGACTGGGCCATCAGCCAAGATGCATGAGCCCGAGATAGGAGGACAGCTGCGCCGAGGATTAACTGGTGGAGGAATATCACGACACCGTCACTCTCTACCTTTAAGACGAAGCAGATAGATACCTCATTGGAGGATTAGCAAATAACCTTACCACCGGTGACGGTGAGAATTCAGACCACGAAGGCTTTTGATAGTCCTATCCTAATACAGCATGCACAAATCTATGGCGTGAAGTATTGTGTCTCATGTGATGACCTGAGTACCGTTCTCCTGCTACACAATGGTTACGCAATAGGTGAAGGTAAAAACGTAGACCATACCTTGGACCCAAGAGTGCTATGCCTAAAGGGACTAGGTTACAGTGGACGGAGAGTTGGCCGTGAACATCAAGGGTAGATAGAGGTAGCTGAACACAGAGACCATACTATCCAATGTCTGGCACCGCGAAACTCAAGGTGCGGTTCTAGTGCATTATTGGAGATTATATCAATCAGAGAGAAATGCCTAAGAGAGGGTAGGCAGCTTGCAGCATTTTACCCATTCTTGAGTTTTTCAAATTATTCTAAAAGAACAACGATGGATGGTCTTAACATCGCACGAGATCCAGCCCATTCTTAAAAGTCCAATGCTTAGTAGAAACAGTGTACAGATCGATAGTTCCTATTGCAATCAACGGAGTCGAGACAACAGCATGCAACAATTCATCTGCAAAGACAAACACAGGTCAATACAAACATTAGGCAAAAATTCAAAAAGAGATGCGCTCGCATGTGCGGAATTTAACTGCCTGGACTCCCCGAGGTGGGCTCGAACCACCAACCTCCAGATTAACAGTCTGACGCGCTAGCCAATTGTGCCATCGGGGATGAGACGCTTCTTGCTCGTTGGAACTCTCGCCCGAGTGGGGTCCTAAGTCGGGCGCGCAGCCGGAGTCTGTTGTTCTCGGAGTTTTAGCGGGTGGGAATGCTCTGCAGTGGATCAATCTGCACCTCTCCGCGCGTAAAATCAGTGAGCGCCCATCCAGATCGGGAGCTTACCCTGTGAAAGTAGCCATCGCGGGTTGTGCGGTTTCTTTCCGCATGCAGCAGATCATGAGCAGCTGCAGCATTCCGCATCGTGAAAACAAAGCTCTGCCAGGACCAAGTTCAATTGTCATCGTAATCACCAAGGTTCCCAATCCGTCCCCAACATGATTTCCTTTCAAAACAACCCATTGGGGAAGGTAAGGAGCGAATCAACCAAGGGAATACGACAAGGCCAACTGCCGAGTAAATCAAGCAGCGACAGACCTCAGACACGATGAAGCGCATCACTGAGACAGGAGAAGAATGTCCAGAGACAAAGGCAGCCAATTGCTCAATGAGACAGCGTGTGTAACTTCGCGGGAAGGCACGCCAGGTTACCTAATGGCGGCTACCTGCCTCCAGAAAAAGCAACGCGACGCGTGCGACGCCGCCTATGACATCAGAACTCCTCAGACCTCTCCCCGTCCGCGCGCCTTCCTCTCTGCCTGCCAACTCCTCCCCAGCACTTGCTTCTCTTCCTTGTGTTTTCGTTTGAAGCATTCCATCTCATCAACCGTCATCAATTGATACCCGCGGTCAACAACACGACACCCACACTACCGTACCGTCTCCATCGTCAACCCAATCACCCACGTCCAGCATCATGGTAAGCACACGTGCAGGAGAGCACGCCAACGGCGAGGCCGAAGCCAATGAAAAGGCGCAGAACACTGCTGAGGCTACCGCTGGAGAGAAGCGTGTCATCGACCAGGACACTGCCGAGGACGCTCCTGATGCTAAGCGGGCGAAGAAGTCCGATGATGGCGCCCGTCAGACCACCATCGAGGAGGCCCTCGAGAAGCAAGACGATGCCGAGTCCAAGAAGCCAGAGGCGAAGAAGCCCGAGGCAGAGGAGGAGAAGCCTGAAACTTCTGACACTGAGATGAAGGATCGAGATGAGACTGTTGCGGAAGACGCGAAAGAGGTTGCCGAGACCCAGGCGGCCAAGGACGTCGAGGAGGCGGCAGAGGAGTCCAAGGCGGAAGACTCCAAGGTGGAAGACTCCAAACCGGAGAAAAAGAACGACACCGAGGAAAAGAAGGAGGCTGCCCCGGCCAAGGATTCTGAGACCGAGCAAAAGAACGAGGCCAAGGAAAAGGACGAGGTTGCCAATACCAAGGACAAGGAGGAGACAACAGAGGAGACCAAGGCTGATGAGAAGCCTGCAACCAAGGAAAGCAACGGAGACACTGCCGAGATTCCCCACGCGGACAAAAAAGTTCCGTCCAACGTCCTCGAGAAGGGCATCATCTACTTCTTCATCCGCGCCCGGGTCAACCTTGACGAGGCCGAAGAAGTTGACGATATTGCTCGAAGCTACCTCATTCTTCGCCCCATCGCCCCCGACTCCAAGCTCGGTGACGGCCCGATTGGCGATGCCGGCAACACCCGTTTGATCGCCCTGCCCAAGAAGGTCTTCCCTGAGAACGGCCGAGATCGCTTCATGATGTTCGTCGAGAAGGCCGGCGCTTCTTTCGCCGAGCTGAAGGAGCAGTTCCTCTCCGGTGACCAGAACGAAACCAAGGCCGGCACTTCACAGGTCCCTGCCGCTACTCCTGTTGGCGAGGGCGTCTATGTCATCACGACGACCGGCAGGGAGAGTCACCTGGCGTACATGCTTACTCTGCCTTCCAACATCGGCGAGGTCCAGGAGGAGCTTGGCCTCAAGGAGCAAGGCAGCTTCATCTTGAGCACCAAGAATCCCAACAAATCCGGACCTGCCAACGCGAGCCTCCCAGAGAATCCTGACTACCCTGAGACGTAAGAATTGGCTGGTTTTAACCGACAAGAATGGCACTGACAACAAGCTCTAGGATCAACAAGGAGTTCCGAGACCTCCGATGGATGCCCACCAAACCCGAACACCTTGACTATGCCAACGCCCAGATCCTCTTGATCGGCGAGTCATCGGGGATCAAGAAGGCGACAGAGCCTCGAAAGAAGGACGTGAAGGAGGGCAACGAGGAGCCCGAGAAGATTCTTGAGCAGATTGAGGACGAGGATACGAAGCGGATGGAGAACCTCGCGGAGGACGACTCTGGTGCCATCTTTGCTGATCTCCAGGCTCGCGCCAAGGACTACCCAAAGCTGCAGACAACATTTTGATTTGTCGTTGATTGTATCTGGTTTGAGTTGACAAAGGAGCATTCGGGGTTCGGGTAATGTAGGGTTCGTTGCTCAAGCGAACGTTTACGCAGACCCTTTTACTGTTAAGCTTTTCACTTATTCGGGGCGACTGCTTGAAGGTAGCTGACTCAAAAGTTCGGTTCATCTCACTTACAATTTACATGCAGGTGATGGAAATCGCCCCTCAGTCCCAGCTGAAGGCCACGAGACAGATTAGATGCCGAGGAAACCGTGAGGCGACATCCGCGAGGCCAGCTGAGTCTTCAGTCTGAACATCAGTCCAAAGCATGCTGTTTACGGGGAAGAGGTCCACGCGACGTGCCTGGATGGAGAAACTCTTGCTATCGGAGGCTCGTGACACACATTGACCAACAGACAGCGCCTTACAACACATGTCGTCCGCGGAAAAGAGAGCTTCTCGAACTCTCAAACTATTCCAACTCAGTATCACACCGCCTCCTGAGCATCAGCTCGCCATTCATCAGAGACCGAAGCACGCGACCCGTGCTTACATACTTTTCCCAGCTTGACTCGCCCGCCATGTCCTGCATCGGAGCCGCTGAATAGAATTCGAGGCGGCATTGCCTCAGATCCCCGAAACCGCGTTCCCAGTTTTTTTCTCCCCTGGTTCTGGACTCAACAACGATCAGACGAGATCTTTCAAGCGTGCAGCTGCCGCCGCCGCGGTCGGAGCACCCAACGTTTCGGCGAGCACGACATTTTCCCTTCTTTTCTCTTCCCCATCAAGCCAGCGAGCCAACAACCCTTAGTCACAACCGGTCAAGCGGATCGGCTCCAGACGGAGGGCAGACCAGCTTACCGTCCCCGAGACCTGTGACACTTCGTCGCCGTGCGTATCTTCTTTGGGACAAACGCTGTCTTACCAGTTGGGCAGATCTTTGTGGTCCCGGCTGTGTAGCGGCCCGGACGCCACACCGGAAAGGTGTCGACGAATGATTCGCGCTGCTGCGTGCCTTTCCGCATCCCGTGTAGGCCGTACCTCGTTTCTGCCGGCGGTGCGGCATTATTCCCATCGACATCTGAACAAGACATGATGCCCGACTCAGCATTGTTTCTGGAAACGACCTCACCTGTCAAACATGTTTTTCCCCATTTCGTCATGTTTCACCCTGCCAAAAAGCTGGTATCTTCCACCGGTGTACTAACACGCAACGGAATTCGTTCATGGCACATCCCCGACAGCCGCCGTGCGAGCCGTTGCGTAACTCCCGCGTTCGCAGCTCGTGTTTCGTTTTGCCCTTTCTCGCTCTCATAAGCAGGACAGGCATATGGTAACTTCACGTGTGCTTGCATGACTTTTCTTGCGACGCGGAATTAGCTAAGTAAGATCTGCTCAACAAAAATATAAACCGGAACCTTCTTGCTCTTTGCTTTCTTCTCTGCACATGCAGCCCGAGTTGTTAGATTCCCTCCCAATATTAGTCATCTCACAGGTTTCAGTCACATAGTTGTTGCCCTCCAAAGATGCTCTCATACTTTTGGAAACAACCTCCAAAGGGCTTCAACGCCCAAGAAGCGCTCCAGAGCCAGGCCCCGGGCCACTGGCTCCCCAAAGACCGCAGCCTCATCGCGCAATGGGTCGCGGAAAAGGCGAAGCAGGCACGCGCGATCAAGCACCCGGAACCCCTCGACCCGACCCTCGAGGCCTTCAAGAAGCTCGTCCAAGACGATGCGCACCTCACCAAGCTCGCCAACAAGATGTTCACCGAGTCGTCCCGCAAGTACCCCCAGGACCCCGTCGGCCACAACGCCATCAAGAAGTTTGACGACTTCGTCGCCGTGATGAACCTAGTCCTGCGCTCCGGGCCCGAGTTCGTCACGAAGTCGTCCCCGTCGACCGCCATCGGGCTGGTCGGCTGCCCCATCAACGCGCTGCTCGACTGGCCGATGGGCACCATCTCGGGCTACGAGTTCTTCCTCAAGCCCGAGGTCAACGCCGCCATCGCGGCGATCCTCAACGCGTGGGGCAAGTTCCTCACGACGCCCGAGTCGCGCGGGTGCCTCGACGGGTGGCTGTCCAAGGACGCGCGCGAGATGATTGCGATGAAGGCCAACAACGGCAAGACGAGCCACACCTTCGAGGAGCTGTTTGAATGCAACCCGAGCTGGGAGTACTTCGGCTTCGGGTCGTGGGACGACTTTTTCGTCAGGCGGTTCAGGGAGGGCGTGCGGCCGGTGGAGGCGCCGGAGCGCGGGGCACGAGACCCGCGGTTCCCGGACCCGACGCTGGTGGTCGCGAACGCGTGCGAGTCGGCGCCGCTGCAGGTGCGCACGGGGGTGAAGCTCTTCGACACGTTCTACCTCAAGGGCCAGCCGTACTCGCTGGGCAACATGCTCAACTGCCACAAGCGGACGGCGGAGTTCGTGGGCGGGACGGTGTACCAGGCGTTCCTGAGCGCGCTGAGCTACCACCGCTGGCACGCGCCGGTGAGCGGCAAGGTGGTCGGGATCGAGTACGTGCCCGGCACGTATTACAGCGAGAACTGGTCGGAGGGGCTGGCGGGGGCCAAGGGGCAGGGCGGGGAGGACCCGGCGGCGCCGACGTATTCGCAGCCGTACCTGAGTGCGGTGGCGACGCGGAGTATTATGTTCATCCAGGCGGATAACCCGAAGATTGGGCTGATGGCGGTGGTATTTATTGGTATGGTGGAGGTGTCCAGCTGCGATTTTGTAGTGAGGGAGGGGGAGAGGATCGAGAAGGGGCAGGAGATTGGGATGTTCCACTTTGGGGGGAGTTCATATTGTATGGTGTTTAGACCGGGGGTAGAGTTACAGATGGTTAGGCCCGGGCCGTGGGATATGGATCGGGAGCACAACTTTGCGGTGAAGAGTGCGTTGGCTATTGTGTCATAGATGATAGATAGACCCGTAATAGAGTGTTGGTTCTAGATCAACGAGATGGCTGAGATGGGGCGGTCGCCGTAACTGACTTGGATGACTTTGACGTGCAGGTTGATAGATGGATAGTATGACCGCTGGTTCTTTAGTCGTTGTCGGCGTTGTCATCGTTGTCGTCGTCGTCGTCGTCACTTGATGTTTTCAACTACATGTGCATACATAACATCGGCTGGTCGACCTTTACTGAGACTGTTGGTAAAATCGACCTCGAAGTTGAAATGCCGAAGAGCAACGACAGAATGTTATGATTTTCAATCTACTGGAGCTTGACTTCAATTTTATCCAACTGCGACACACAACTTTCAGGCATTTTCCCGACGCCCACTCGCTCAAAAACCGTCGAGCCTCCGGACCTCTTCGTAACCTGTGGCGCAACAAGAAGGACATAACACATTCTGTCCGTCGTTGTAGATCCAGTCTTGGGCCGCGCTAGGATCACGCACTTCAAGCCTGGCGTACGACCGTCGGCCTTGTCAGGCATGTCGAAGTAAAGCGTGATGTGCTCCTTGACAGCTTTGGCTTCATCGAAATCTCTCGCAGTAGCTTCGAGAGAGATGGTGCTGTTTTTGTCCGTGGTGTACTGCACAGGCGAGTCTGCGCTCCACGGGGATCGGAGATCTTGCTGTTCCCACTCGGTCTTGTTCCACTCCGGATCCAGGTAGTCGATGCCTCCCTCATACGCCATCCACGACCACGTCGGTACAAAAATCTTCTTCTCAACCGGAAACTTGATTCTCCCGAGAGTCCCGCCGAGAGATCGACACCAAAGAAGGCTCCGGTGCAGAAGACCCTTTCCATCGTCGAATACCCCATATCCTCCACGTGTGGCAAAGCCCTGCAATAATCTTTTCTCTAGACCGGCAATGGCAAAAGGCCTGTCCTCGACCTTTGAAAATTGCAATTTTGAGTACTGTTGGTAAAACATCTGGTAAAGATAGATCATTTCTCCTCTTGTCGAACGCATGGCGACTTCAGGGAACTTGGGGTCTCCAAGAAAAGCCGCAATATTGCTAAAATGTCACCGTGTGTTAGTCACATTGCGCTGTTTGGCTTGTTTATGTCTATCCCGAGACTTACTTTTTCAGTTTGGTAAACGTCTCACATCGAATTCCACCGCCACATTCCCAGTATGTCTGCTTCTCGGTGAAGTAGATGGTCCGACGCGCGAGGGCTCTTTCCTGAAGCACCCAGCCCCTCTGGTTCAATGCCCCATCAATGACATCCCCCTGAAAGTTGTCTATCTCCTCGCAGACGTGATAGACTTCGTCTTCACCTCTGCTAAATGTGATGTAATCTCGTCCGACTCTGTCTCCCAAAAAGCCGTCGCATTGACCAGCCGCCCGGCTTGCAGCAAGAACGCAGTACGCTGAGCTGAAGACATCTTCCATATGCTTTGATTGCTCCGTGAAATCACCGTCTGGACCTTGGATGATGCACAGCGAATCAATCCAGAGATATTTGATGTTAAGCTCGCGCGTTATTGTGACTGCGTCCTTGAATGTGTCTGGAAGGATGTTGAAGTCGATACCGGCTTTGTGACTCTCAATATTGCTGGTGTAAGTGCAGAAATGGGAATGCATGGCTGGATCGCCCCAGGGATGTGACAGAGCAAGGTATTGGCCTTGTAAGCCTTGTGTATCAATGAGACGAATTGTCGAAGTTTGGACATCGAGTAGTCTAGTAGGAAGTGTGGGATTTCCATCGCATTGGCAGTTGTCGTGGGCTGGATTATTGTCGCATTCTTTGAGCCACTGTCTGATAATCTCAAAGTGCAGCGAGTGGCGGGTTGGAGAGAGATTCGGGAAGCCAACCTGGATATACTTTGGGATTTCCGAACCTCCGCCTGTACAGTCATTATCAGTTAGTAAACTATCAGAGTCTATTCACTGGATAAGTAAGTCGAGAGAATCAAATGACTTACCAGGGTCGCGAACAATGCTGAGAAGCGGTACGGAAGCATTGTCGATTCGGAGAGTAGGCCCGTACCTTTGCAGGCGAAATCCCTTGGGTGCATTTGTTTTCTTACAAGCTTTTGCTAAGAGTTTGCAGAAGCCACATGTATCTGCCCTCTTCTCTATATCAGCGAGCGTATCGGTCATCTGAAAATCTGACGACAATATGTCCAACTCTTCACATTGAGCACAAATTCCTTGATAATGAGGTAGGCTCAGATCCACGGGGAAATTCTTGCAAGTGTCCACAAGGTTGTTGGCGAATTTGTTGTCGGAGTAAAATGACCAGGTGTGGTTGAGCTAAAGGGTGGGTGTCAGCAAGCATTTGAGCTTGGGTCCTTTGGCAGCGTAAAAATGCGGGTTGTCTCACCGACTGCAGATGGCCCATGTCTAGGTTAAAGGAGTCCTTCACGTCTAGATATATTTCTTTCTACTTACTAGCTAATAAAGGAAGAGATATATCAGTAACCATTTGCGTCCAAAGTTAAGAGGAAAACGGGAAGCCAGTCGGTGAAATTGTTCTACTTACCCCCTTCAGACCGTACAGTTTCTGTTAGTAAATAGCGCTGAGAGGATGAGTTACAAAACATGATATAAGTACTTAACTCACATACTAAATAGCTCGTCAGTCGATGAGCCTGGTACAGAGTGCAGTCGATCACACTCATCTACTTACGTCCTTCTGTGTGGGAATCGTCAGCATCCAGGAATCCAATTCAATAACGAAGCTTCTGTAGGCTAAGAACGCAGGAAAAGGGGCAGGAAGTTGATGTTCACCCCTGAATGGAGGTCACTTACGGTGGTGTAAATCGAGGCATCTTTGGCAGGTGCGTTTGACTTCGGCCTAGATTGTCCTGGAACCTGCAAATTGTTGCTGGATCTAGGGATTGCAGCGACAGATGGGCGTCTGAAGCCCGGTCTGTTCTTGCTCGCGAGTAGATACTTCTCGTTTCCATCACCATCTTCCAGTATCGCTTGGAGCGCAGAGCTTGCAGCGGCGGCTTTGGCCCTGGCCGAGCCAACCTGTGGCGGCTCGGAGGTATCAGCAAGGGTAACAGAAACAACTGCTGAGGACATTTCAGATGTTGTCTCTGGACTAGGCCGGAGAGCGACAACTAATAGTCTATCTCGGACGAGGTCAAGAAGAGTTCGAATCGCTGTGTGCGTAGACTTAGAGCATTCCGGGTGTCTGCTGAGTTCATTCATCCAGTGAACGACTATAGGGTGAACTTCAGCTTTCGTTTGATTCCCGTCCTTTTCGACGCGGTAGAAACAGCCTGTGTCGTCGAGAAGCGCTTCGGTGAACTCCCTGACGCCGTCATAACCGTAGAGAAACCATATGATGTACTCCAATATGATGCATCCTAATGACCATACATCGTAAAGCCGAGATCTAGCCTTCAGTTTGTTTGTTACTGCTTCAGGAGGCTCGTACCGCGCAGTACCATATTTTGTGTTTGTCGGGCCTAATCGGGCGTCCGTTGCCTCAGTATGACGCTTAGCAAGGCCCATATCGGCGATCTTGAGGGTTCCAACAAAGGACTTGTCCTTGAACCTGAGAATGTTCTCTGGCTTTAAGTCGCCGTGTCGGTAGTTGCCCTCGCCTTTGTAGTTGTGAAGAACTGCTAATGCGTCGGCAAGTCCACGCAATTGAGTGACGGATTCCCGAACCAAGTTAGCGTTGAATTCTGGCGAGGGGTGGCTCTTCCAGAAGTCTCTCAGATTGCCTCCATCAGCCCATTGAAACATGAAGTATCGATTTTCGCCTCGCGTGATGGCAGCAATTCTCTCGATGATGTGCTTGTGTTTGAGACTTGCAATGTCGGATAGAGCGTCTGCCTCTACTTTGAAATTTTGCTCCACCTCCTGCTGCAGCTCTTCGTCGTCATCAGTTGTGAGAATCTCCTTTATAGCGATACGGGCCGGGGTACCGTCTGCCTGGGTGTAGTGTCAAACGGGATCAAAAGACATAGCGTGGACAGTTTTCCCTACCCTATCCCCGAGCAGTCTCTGGTGGCCCTTGTGAATCTCAACTTGGTGGACCTTGCTGAATCTTCCTTCTTTGGTAACGGTACTGTTCCAAACAAAAGGTAGAATGACATCCGGATGGAGAGTATGGTGAAATCTTTCTCGTGAGAACACAGGCGCCAAGAACTTCCATTGGTTTTGATAGAAGCTACGGATGTGCATTCGCCGCCATACGCGCTGTAGCCTAGGGTCTTCGTTGAAATCAAACGGGAATGGAAGCTTTGACTTGGCCTTCCTAGTTTCATCCACTTTTTGAATGTCGTTTATTGGAAGTGCTCTGTCTGTGAAGCCGTGGCGACGAAAGTAAACCATGGTGTCGAGAAGCGAGCTTCCTCCAACACCACCAAGAGCGTAGTAGGCCGTCGCGAAGACCTTCTTGGAATGGGCGTGGATGAAGTTGATCAATGCTTTGTCGTCACCATCGAGCTTCATACCAAAGAAAAGTTCGTCTTGGATGGCGCTGCGGCTGATGACTTTGTCGATGTATCCTTCAGGAAGAAATTCTCGTTTCGAGTCGAACTTGCTCTCCACCAAGTAACCGAAGAGTTGGTCTCCGAGGCTCGGTGAGTCATCGCTCTCCGAATCGCTGTCATTTCTGCTGTCTGGCATTCGATTCGACATGCTGGCATCTGCTCTAGTTGGATCAGTAGGATCGACATGCGAACACGTTCATAGATGGGGGAAGACGGGAAAAGAACGACGAGATGGCGAAAACCTTCAAGCCCGTCTGGAAAAGGCGGGGTATCGCACTGGAGTCCGAATCTGCCGGATAGAGCGAGTGCAAACCGTGAGGCAGCGCATGGCTTGCATCTACAGGAGAAGCAGGCTGCCAGTGTCTCGGGGCCGATGTGAAAAGTGTGTTGGGTCATTGGCAATCATGTGCAAATGAACGGCGACCAGAGTGATCCGTCCCTATCATGGACCCGTGCCAAGCATTTAAATGGCACCACTACTGCAAGAGTTCGGCTTGAACACCAATCGAGTTTGTAGCAAGAGCCCTGAGGCTTGCTCGTGAGGAGTTCCGTCGTCCGTGGTGGACGCGGATGGTAGCGTGGATAAGCTAAGGGATGACGCACATCGACCTGCTTACTTAGTGCACTGCAGTCATCAAATGGAACCACTTCAAAACCTAGGCATCGTGAAGTCATTGGCCGGCGAACTGCCAGATTCGCGGGGTATCTCGTCTGATAACGAGGCAACAGTAGAACGGAGTAATAAGGTCCGAAAAGGGGGTGGCCGCTCGGAAACAAGTGCGTCTGTGACTCTTCCGCAAATTGATTTCTTTCGTATTGTTTTGGCTTGAATCTCCTTCTCAACATGGAAAATGAAGCGCTATCGGCGTCTCCCGTCAGCTGCGATCAAGTCGATCTTGGAACACGGATGGGCTGCGGCTAGCTACGGACTCAAATTCGAGGAAAGCACGCGGGAATAATGAATGAGTGTGGAGGGTGCAGCGTGACATGAGGAGAGAGAATGGAGTCCAAGCAGGCTGTGGCCCATCGTTGGGCGGCATGCAGGAAATGGTTCGCATAATTTCGGTAGGCAAACAGGCAAGCAGGCACCCAATCTCAGCCACCCATGGCCCGTAACTGATGGAACTCCTCTTGCATGCATTTGGCGCTCTATCGCCGATCGAACGACCACAGGTTCAGCTGCAAGAACTGGTTGAAAGCATGACGCGTCCGATACCACCGCTTCTAGCCTGGAAGTTCAACTAATATTACGGCTACCCAACATTTTATACTGATACAGCTTCATTCGCGCAAAGAATACAAACCCTGTAAGCTCCAGTTCTAGACCCAATCAGACTCGCCGCGATGAACTCAACGCGAAGTTTGGGTCTACTAAACATTTCCTATGCCAAGTCTTAATTCGCTGCATTACCTGCATGCATCCCAATCTTTGAGTGTGTTCAGACTCGACTATGAGCATCTCCCCCATAATCATGTCTAAGAAAGAAGAAAGGAAGTTGCTACACAGCGGATGCGAGCGCAATTCTGATACGAACTTTGAGATGGTTAGCATTGGTTTTTGACTGTGGATTATCAAGTGATGACCGGCGCTGGGAACAGATATCTGACCTTCGTAACTGCTGGCTTGACAAATGCATCAACACGTGCATTCTTTCCACCTTCTCTGATTTCAAAGAAGCACCCCAAATCAGTTTCTCCTGAATCTACACCTCGCCTCCGCGATGCGAATTCTTCGATCAAACCCCATCCGCCTACCGTCCATGTGATGAACTCTAGGTAAAGGCAGCCAAGTGTCCAGATATCGTATGACTGTTTGATGATTTTCTTCCTCAAGTCGCATTCAGGGGGTCGATAGCCTGGTGAATTCGGGACTTGACTTCTCTGTGACTTGCTGTACCGACTGTTGAGTTCGGAAAGCCCGAAATCTGAGATTTTCAGGGTTCCCTTGTGACCTGGGACCTTTGGATCAGGGAACCAAAGAATATTCTCGGGCTTAATGTCACCATGCCGCCCATAAAGTGGACCAGGTCTCCCAGAGTCTTTGCCACCATTAAGAAAAACATTTGGCGCTAGATACTCATTTTTGGGGGAGTCTGTTTTGTCGTTGAGCCCGGTCTCGTACTGGTGAAGTCTGGTGAGACCTTCGGCCAGGCCACCGCACTGTTCTGCCATCCAGATGACAGTCTCCACGTTGTAGGCTGGCCTCGGATTCTTGGACTCCCAGTAAGTCTTCAAATCAGCTCCTGCCCATGGGAATATCAAGTAGAATATGCCACTCCGCTCGAATGTCGCAAGTAGAGAAATGAGATGTGGGTGGGCATCTCCACTGAATCTCTTCAAGATTTGTACTTCCTTTTGGAACGCTTCTTTGCTTGTTGAGTCTTGTAGCCGTTTAATTGCAAAGGTGTTCTGTGAAGGCTTCATGGTATTAGAGGGAGAGGTTTCTCACTTTGAGGTTGAGGATTACCTTTGATGTGTCCTGCTCATTCCTTTGAGAACCATTGAAATTGTGGTGGTCCGGGTGGATATCAGCTTCGTAAACTCGGCTGTAACCGCCCTGATGGTCGCCACTCGCATTATCGGTGAAGATGAATGGCAGCACCGTCGATGGCTCAAGAACGTAATGTTGTACGTTCTTTCTCTTACCCTTGGTGAAAAATGGAGGAACTACAGCCCATTGGTACTGCTCAAAGTGCCTAATGGTAACTTGTTTCCATGACTTGAAGCAATCCAGCCGACGGCCTGGTTGCTTCTTGCGCCGTAACTCCAATTTGCGACGGTCGGCATCCTTCTTCCTGGAATATCTTTGAAGTGGCAAGTCTGCGTCGCACAGACCTTCTTCGAGAAACCTCTCAATAGTATTAACCTTATTGACGAGGACTAGGACCGCGAATACTTTCTGATACGACTTGACTAAATCCTCTGTGGTACTTTCCTCGATTGTTTCAGCTCTACCGTGGCAGATGCGATTGGCGTAAGACCTGATGGTGTCCTCTGTAAGATCTGGCAGTTGTCTTTTGAGCTCCAGGCGAACTGAATTGGGATGAATCAGTCTGTCCAGTTGACTTTTTGGCAGAAACTCCTGTCTATCCTGAGAGTTTTCACAGCTTGCCTCAAAGATTAGGTCCGAGAGATTGCCTTCGAGTTCATCGTCGTCTACTGGAAACCGTGGAACAAGGTTCTCGTTCTTCAACTCGTTATATCTCTGATGCCCGTGATCGGTAATCTCGCTGGGTTCTGGAGTAGACTTCGGCAGGTCCTTTGTGCGTGGCAGTCCCTGTCCCCTGATTGCGGCCAGAGCTGTGGATGTGTCCGTGTCCGCTGGTTCATTGCTCGTATCAAACTGATGATCCTATTCTTCTTGTCAGCGAAAGATGCAACAAAATTTTGCACTTGAAGATGTACGAACAATCAAGTCTGACACGTCTTCATGTATGATGACCGGCAGATGGAGGTCCTTGTGGTCCTGGCCATGAAGACCAACCTCAGAACCGACATATCTGTTCGGACCATAAAACAATCCTGAACCAAGTTCACTCCTTTCTGATGTCGAGTCTACAGAACTATGAGTTCGCCGACTACCTGGAAATGAGTGTGTTCTTGACAGTGCCGGCATCTTTGCTGGTAACCTGTTTTTGGCGACTTTTGTGGGTTCATGTCTTGAGTCACTTCTGCGGAACGTGAGTAAAATGCAGTCGTAAATCAATCAAATGAAGGAGCAATGGGAAAGGAAGTCATGTTGGACTCTTAATGATGGAAGTGCTGGATATGATACTTACTCAGGTGCGTCGATTCGTGGTATCAGATCTCCGCTCGAAACCGGATGGTTGTACCTGACCGTAGCCATCTTTGAATGAATGGATGCCAATGAGGAAAGGGAGGAGATGATTCGAGATGGGACAGGACGGCTGCAGGACTTTTGATGGAGCCAGGGAAGGCCGCTTCTGATTTCTTAAGAGATAAGGATCTCGTCGCAGCCGTACCCATGCAGGCCTCCAGGCTCCCGCAAATGAGAATGAATCCTTCAAGCCCCTGGCTGAGCAACCAACTCCAGAGCCTTGCCGACCAAAGTAGAAAAATTCAGCCTGATTTTGCAAGTAGCAATGGGAAAAAGGGGGCCAAAAGAAAAGTGTGCCTCATTTCCTGCTTTCAGCCCTAGCCTGATTATTCGCGGTGAGTAGGTGAAAGATGCGGTGTATGTGGTGACACAAAACCAGCACAGCCCCGGTGGACCAATGAAAAATGAATGGCGAAGCATGCCCAGCAATGCGCCCGAGGCAGACTGCCTAACCGAGACTTCGGTCAACTGCGCATACTTAAGACATGCAACGTGGAAAGGGGGCCACCATCTCTCGGCACACTGCCTCGAACAGCTTGCCAGTCTGAGCGTATCTTACCACACCTATTGACACGAATGTCAGACGGAGACAAGCCCCGGAAACAAGAGCCAAGTCGCAACGAATGACGAGTGGTGGCACAGTCTGGTACATTTTGATCTTAACTGCCTTTTTCGGGCGGTTCCTTTCCAAGCATGCACCGCTAAAGCTAGGCTCAATCGACGCATGACCACATCATGTATCAAAACAACTTGATATCGGCAACGATGCAAAGACTTGACATTACATCCGTAGAGATAAGTACCTTGTAATATTTAGGAACCTCCATCTTCTGGTCCGCTACTGTCACAAACTTATTTTGTATCCTTCCTGTGATACATAGCTGATGCCATTCCCCAAGCACCCGCCCCAACTATCACCTCTCTCCGAGCGCCGTCTCCATAGTCCCCGACTTCCCGTGCTGATATCGTCGTGTCTCTCTTCAATAATATGTACACATTGGTGGGGACGAGACATTCAAGTGCGTTGATTCAGTCCTCGGAATTTCTCTTCTCCTTCCTTTTCGCCTCCTTTCGCCTTTCTGAAGGCCTCTTGCCTTTGATTGCCGTGTTATCAACCTTTTCCTTACGTCTTTTCGACTTCTTACGCTTCTTCTCTACCTCTGATTCGGGATCTGAGATCTCAGAATTATCAGATGCGTCCGGATGAAGCCCGGATTCTGACGCCGATGAATCTGAATCACGACTAGAGTCACCTGAAGATACAGTAGACTCCGAGTCGGTATCTGAGTCAGAAGACTCCTGCACTCTCTTGATTCGAGTCTTGTTTTCTTTGAAAGTGGCTGGTCGAATTTGGTCTCTCGACGCCGTCGTGTCTTCATCTTGGCCGTGTGTCTGCAAAAGGTAGTCGTTGAACTGAGTCGAAGCCTCTGCAATGAGCATGAAGGTGTCTTGGCTTAGGACAGGTCGTTTTGGGCTTCTAGGAGTAGGCGAAGACAAATCCTTGCCGGTTCGTCGCGCCTTATCTTTCGACTGGGCTTTGAACTCTGCCAATGCGATGGCAGTTTGGAATGCGTTGCGGATCTGACGGCCATTCCACTGAAGACTCTCCCAGTTGACCTTGGCCCACTTGACGATCTCTTCCTTGTCGTATTTGATCGGCTGTTGTCCTTTTTTGACCCGCAGCTCGTTGACTTGCTCCAGTTTCCTAATGTTGTTCTTCCAGATTTTGGTGCTTTGCTTCTCCACGAGTTTGGGATAATACAACGTAAGATGAAGTCTTGAACGGAATGCATCATCGATTGCGCCAACCCTATTAGTGGTAAGAAACAAGATGCCTGGGTAGTACTCCAGGATTCGGAGGAAAACTAGGCGGGCATGATTAGAAGATGTGCCAAAAAGAACGACGGCAGCTGTGCGGGATTCAACCTACCAGATACGAGTCCGTTTCGTTTCACGTCAGATTTCTACAAGTCTTGGTTATTCATCGTCATGATCACGTATGACTTTCTATCTTACCGTCCGTTTGGCAAGGAAGACGTCTGCTTCATCAAGCAGCAGGACACATGCCCATCGATGAGCTAGTTTGAAATGTTTTTCAAGATTCTTTTCAACAGTCTCCGGGACATGCCCAATGTCACCTATAGATTTGGCGAACAAGTCGGTCAGGAAACGCAGTCGTCTCACATACGGCGGGTGATCCTAGGCTAACTTACCACAAGTGATTGGGTAAAGCGGACGCTTTGTGTATGCAGCCACACATTCTGCAAGTCAAACACGTCCATTAGTAAGGGAGATCATGGTGATATATCCATCTGTGAGACTGTGAGTAGATGAAACATACCGGCGGTCGAAGTTTTTCCGACTCCTGGCGCACCGTGAAGGAGGATAATGCAGCCCTTTCCTGCGAAACTATGAGTCAGTGCGAGCGGCGGTAATCGTAAGAGTTGGTTACTTGCCCTTTCCCCTAACAAGATCCATGTCGATTCTCTCAGTGGCCTGGTCATGTGAAAGAAAAGAGTCATCCGGGCGCCTAGTGTAAGATTCAACCATAGCCTGAACCATGTCTCTGTGGCCTCTCGGGAGAACTAGATTTCCCCAATCATCGCTATGTTGGACGTATTGAAGCACATCTAAGTCCAGAAGCACTGAGATTTGGTTAGTCGTCAAATTTTGTCGACACGTAGTCCGAAGGGACAAGTCCAGACTGGCTTCTACATACCCCATTTACGACTGCGCAACGCGTATCCTGGAACAACTCCTGGGAACAGGTTAATGAGATTATTCTCCTCAAGGTAGGATCTGAGTTCCCGCCGAGCCTGTTTGTTCTGCATTTCCGGCTTGGTGTGACTCTCAAATATAAAAGTGAGCTTTCGCAAGACCTTCGAACTCTGCGCGTCTTGATGCCTGTAATATGTGGCGTTTTGGGACGACCTCCACGCACACGCGTGGCCTACAGTGCCGTCGATGTCGTGCCAGTCATGAGTTTCGCCTCCTCCTTTGACACTGGATCTCGGCCAGTCATTTTTGTTTCCAGTCGAAAAGATTGGTCTGGTGTATGATTCGTCCGCTAAGTTCTGGTCTTGCTCGTACGCCATCTTGAAGTCCACAATGACCTCGCTATTGATCTGCAAAAGGTGTAAGAAGTTTGAGGCGAGAGCCTTGAATCGACGGGAAGTATCTCACTGTTTCTCGCAAATGACCAGCAGTTGTCCCCTCGTAAGCCATATGGGAACTTTCCATAAGGTCAAGAAACTTCCTGCCTCTCGCCAGCAAACGGTCGCTTTCTCTCTCGCCTATGTAGTGAGCTGGATAAACCTCAATACCCCGAATATCCTTGAGACCATCATAAGGCTTGATTTCGAAGAATTCTCGCTGTGCACCAAATTGATCGCCGTCGTAGTCAATACAGAAGCAAGCTATAATCAGCGAGGAAGTTGTTTGCGACCTTCGCTTCTTGGAGACACCCCCAAGATCTTGTCGTGCTGTGAGTTGTTGTGCATGTGGATCCTTACGAAACGTTCCAAACTCCCCGTGTCGGAAGAGGCGTAGCTTTCCTAGTCGGAGGGTATCGAAGCCGTGAAAAAGGTCGTTGTCAAGATCATCTTCGTCGTCGTAGCCTGGTACAAGATCCTTTCTCAACGGAATACCACCCCTCACAGAGAGCACACAGTATGCCTGTGGGGAGTACCTCGGACGCAACTCTGTGAGCTCGCCTTCCACGTAACTAGCAGCACCACTTCGCTCACTAAGGTTGTCAAAAGTGGTGAACGATCCATCGCTGCTTCGATAGGGGCAATAAATAAGAGCCCCCGCGTCATAGAGCATCCAAAGGTTTTCAAAGGCTACCTTATCCTCTTGACCAGACTTTAGTCTTTCATACAGCTCCAGGGAGCTGCTCAGATAACGATCAACAAATTGGAGAACGACCCTGAAGTGTGGGAGCGCCGATGGTCGAATGTAGGTCTTTCCGAGTTGCTCGGCATTGGTTGCATCAGTATGCGACGAGTCTGACTCCACAGGCCCTGTTGAATCAACAGAAATCGCGCAATCAGTGTCTGAGGGCAATTCCGTTGATGTTTGTGCGCTGGCCACTAAATAATCAATGTTCCCAGTGCTGTGGTCATTAGATTGGGAGTTACTTGGCATGATTAGCTCATTCAGTCGACACATTTAACAGGTGAGACTCGTACCCATAAGCACTTTCTAGCTTGCTGAGATGCTCTCTAAGAGAGTTGATATTGCTGATCAGCGGTCGAAATGGCTTCGTGAGTTGAATGGAATTCCCTGAGCCGCAATCAAGGAGGAGGACGTCCCTGAAGAAGGATGCAATAGGGTCTGACCAGATGCTGATATAGATGATGTCAATCTCAGAAGCATCTTGGTTGGTTCTGTCGACAGCCGCGTCAGAAGCCTTGCTGTACATGGCTCTCAGAATCTCAGAAGGGCCGATTGTTGATGCAAATGCCCCGGACCACTGTGTCTTGTCTAAAAAGAAGCCGTCAGGATTGAAGTCACCCTCTTCTGCCTCGAAGAGATTTGCCTCCAGTAGGACGTTGTTGATGTCAATGTCCGCTGTGTTCGCTTCGGAAAGAATATCATCGCCGTCAACAGCAGGTTCTTCCTCTGGCGTTGGCTCGTCGGGGATGTTGCTTTGCAATTTCTCCTCGATAAGCCGAAGACGTTGATCGACCACACGCATGTAGTCCATGACGCCACTGACTAGATTCTGACCAGGATCGCCCTTAGACAGTTGCGTTACTGTCTCCATGTATCGTTCGTATAGGTAGTGTCTATCATCATGCCAATCCGGGACATCCTCTGTTTCCTCAATAGCGTCCTCGGCTAGATCGTCTACTCCAACCGTCCTATCCTCCTTCGAAATGGTACTTCCAGAGGACGAGGCATCGGTCAATGGAGAGCTGCCGTCAAGCTTGCCATTCTCGCTGTCATTGCCCTGTGTGGAGGTATCATCAGAATTGGCGACTGTAGCCTCGTTGTTTGACCCGCCATCATGTTGGCTGGGCTGGCTATCGGTGTCTGTCGTTGCCATGGTTAAGTCCATGACGGCGCTCGGGACTGGCAAGCTCGCAGTAACAAGCGTGGCCATCTCGGGAGGTGACTTTTGGGCATTCAACAACGCAATCTGAATTGAACTAGAGAAAATCACCAGGAAGAAAAACACATGAGAAACAACATCAGCTTGCGAAAAAACTGGTGGCTGAGCGCGGCTCAAAGTCTGACCCAGTGCTGATATTTGCATAAGCGCCCGGCAGGCTGCTTAGGTCGCGCGCCTGGCCTTCATTCGGCAAAGTCTGCGCAGAGCTATTGTTTGAAAACTGCGAGAAAAAGACCTTTTGTATGGCATGCATCTCATGCATGAAATGTCAACTTTCAATTGGCTGACCTCTCTCTCAAGACCTACGCCCAAGTCCATTCCATGTGGGTCGCGTCAGCTTCGCTTCCAAGCCCCCTGTCAAAGGATTTGTCTCTTCGATATTTCATTTGATATGGCGCAAGACCTTTAGGCATCTGTGGATACCCTCGAGGACACAATCATGCTGCCTAAAGTGGCTACGTTTGATGTAAGTTTTGATATTGCTGTCGGAGATCGTGGTCTTCTGGAGGAAGCCGCGCCAGAGCCGCTTTCCTCGTTCTAAAAGGCTCCGAAGACCAAAGAGCTTCAGGAATTCTCAAGTAATTCATTGCTGACTCCAACAAGATTCCATTTCGTCTGATGTCATCATCAATATCCTCTCTCGGCATGAGTGAAGAATGCCCGTCTCTGGGAGGGTCGGCAGCTGAGACTTCTAGTAACTGGTTAACAACAAAGAATAGCGCAGCTCGTTTCGCATACAGAGCTTTTGATGGAGACTTAACCTCGAAGACAACTGATGAGTTGATGTTCGTGGATGAGTTGGACGCGTTCGTTCCAAGAAACAAAGCTCCAGAGTGTGTCACGCCGAAATCATTCACACGAGGTCCACCATAGCTGACGGGATATTTATAGCCTGGAAAGCTGCTTCGCGAGCTCAAGAAAGGAAAAGGACACATTCGAAATGATGTTGAAGGATTTCGCGCAAAGTATTGAATCAAGAAAAGCATTCAAAAAGCTGGGTGTAGAAAAAGCATCAACTTGCGATCTGGACTACATATTTAGTCTCGCTAGGGCAGCTATTGAGCAACGAGATGGCACGGGAAACTGGAAAGCTTGTAAAGACTTTGCAAGAAAGTGTTTAAAAAGCGCCGGCAAGAGAGACACAGCTCTCGGTGCGATCATGTCCATCATCCCTAGCGACGTCTACGGATCGCTGATATCAGGTGGTGTCATGACCATCCTCGCGGTATGACCAAATAGCAGCACGGAAGATCTCCTCTGAAGGCATCGACTAATCACTCGGATTACTCAGATTGCAAACGAGCATGAGAAGCGGCGGGAGGCAGTTGAGAGCGCCATGGCAGACATACCTAAGAAACTAGACCGGGTGCAAAGGCTATCAGATGTTCATGTCTGGTCAAAACGCCTGCACGAAAAGGCGGACGGAGTCTTGGCGGCCATCTTTGGCGTTTTGCAGAGAATTATTGATGATATGACGATGGACCGGACAGGTTAGTCTAATGGTTCGTTTGCTTTGCCAGGTTGAGATACTGATACGTCATCAGCCAAGTTCAAATCAAAGCTGAAGTTCGGATCAGAGGATCAAGTTACTGGGGCTCTCTCTTCACTGGATGACAGTATTTCGGACTTTCAGATGGAGTTGGACATCTGCGCCCAATTCCGAATGGGCCGTATGCACGAGACTATAAATGCAAACGGCGGCAAACTGAGCATCATTGAGAAGGTCGTCAAAGGTGAGTGAGAATGCCTCCCTACCAGAACATTTCTCTCAGACCGTTGGGTCATTGTGCTGAAGGGACTAAAATATTGAACAGGGCTATCTCAGGACTTGAACGAAGGAAACGTTAAAGCTGTTACCAAGGAGACCATCGAAGAACACGTTTGCAACGCCCTGCACCGATTCTACGCAAGCAACCCCCGTTTCAACCCCGTCAATGGAGGGCGTAAGTCCATGCTGGTCCTTGACACTGATGAGCGACGTCACTGACTGTGCAACTAGTGAAAGAACCGCTTCCAAAAAGGCGACAAGGTGATCTAGAAGTCAGAATTCCGGAGCAGAACAACAGAATTGTCGAAGAATGGTATGAATCTCTGCAAGACTTCGATCCTAGTCCAGAGAAACATGTTACAGAGTGCATGCGCGCTGGCCTCGGCCGGTTAACTCTCGAAGACAGAGAGAAAAGCCAATGGATCATGTCTACACCGGAGGTTTCCAACTGGCTGCGTCTCGATGAATCAAATATCCTATGCGTCAGAGCCGAAAATGCACCAGATGGATTATATCACCCATTGTCCTTTACGGCAGCTCTTCTAACGGAAACACTTCAAAGATCAACTGAGTTTCCGGTGTTGTCTTTCTTCTGTGGGATTCGAACGAATGAGAAGTTCGACAGAGTGCTGTGCGGACCCTTGGCTGTTCTCAATAGTCTGAACGGTCAGCTGTTGAAACACTTTTCGCAAAAGAGACCAGGTGTCGATTTGTCTCTATTGCAACAAGAGAACAAGCGATTGATGAAGAAATCCACTCAAAAGCCAAAGTATGCGGTTAAACTGTTCCGTGGACTTCTTGAGCTTCTCGAGGATGACGATGTCGTCTTTATCATCCTTGATTCTTGGTCGCGATTGTTAGGGGATAGAATGGAAGCTGACAAGGTCATCGAAAAGCTGTCTCAGAACACGAAGGACGCCTCTCATTTGACGATCAAAATTCTTGTCCTAGACCCTCTGCCATCAGATTCAATACATGAATCGGCTCATTCGGTGCTTTACGTCCCGGATGAAATCGACGGTTGGAAGAATGACGTGTCGCTAAGCTTGTTGAAGGCAAGCAACGAGAGAATGGTGGAGGATTTAAAAGATGTCCGGAACAGAAAACGCGAGTTAAATGAGTCCGACTCGGAGACTTCTGATCAAGACTGGTAGAATAAGGAGTATATGCCTATGCAAATGCCACTCAACAGGGCCTTTGTGCACAAATTATATGTCTTCGCCGGTTAGTTGATTCGTCTATACCGCTTGCGCCACAAACTGGTGAAAGGGCACATACATGTTCCAATAGCCATGCATGTTCATGTTCCTGACCTCCTTCTTGGCTTCATCACAAAGCGCCGATACCTCGGCTGGATCCCAGCCTTTTACCCGTGTCAAGAGAGCCATCGAAAACCCTTCGAGTCCCATTTCGAGATTCGCGCAATGCCAGCGACCGATCTCCTTTAGCTTCGGATGTTGTGGCCACGTGTTGAATGGCCATCGAGCTGTTCGACGTCGGATGTCAACAAACCCTGCACGTTGAAGGTCAGGAATGCATTTTGGGGCATAGTCGAGCGGCCGGCCTGTGGCTCTGGCGGCTTCAACAACAGCAGCATGCCACCGCCAAAGAGCGGAGTCCGTCGTAATGGTACCGTCGGTGCAAAACATGGGAAGTTCGAGGTCTTGCATTTCGAACCAGCCTCCTGGATTTAGGTTACTAGTTTTATGTCAGTCTCTATCAAGCGTGTTGAAGAAATACAACATTTCACGTCTTACTCAAACGCCTTCCGGATGATGGATGGAAAGTCAAAAAAGCTTCCCGCCATGGCTCGGCAGAATATGAAGTCGAACGGTCTTTTCCACTTCCAGTCTTTTTCTAGGTCATCAATCTCAAAGCTGCAATTTGATGGTAGACTTGGCTCATTACAATCAGTTTACCTGCGGGTTGGGAAATTGGTAAATCCGTGACCTACTATTCTGGTTGAATTGCACTTAGGTCAACACCAATGACCTTGTAATTGTTAGTGTACAGATCATGCCATGTGACAAGCGTGATGCCACAATCACTTGCCTCGGAACCAGGGTATGCATCGGCTTCAGATACTGTTAGTTAGTATGGTCGCTCACGACGTACAGTTTGTAGAGCGAATTCACCGAAATCGATGGCCCACACGCCGGTGCCCGTCCCCATGTCCATCACCCTCTTCGCCTTATGCTTCTCAGGGTTGCAAGCCAGCTCTCCATTTAATGTGATCAACCAGATGTGATGCTGTAGTTCTGTACGCAATCAGACATCTGCCTCAACACACCAAAAAAGAGGAAATGTGATGCTCACTCAGCCGCTCAACTTCAAGCTGGCGAATGCTCTTGTTAGAACAGGTCAGACTCAGAAGGTAATCGAATGAAAAATCAAGATACATCGTCGTTTGGGTAGGCGTATTCTGTGTCTCGTCAGTGAATCGATTGGTCGCGTCATCGTCCATTAACATACTGCCTCGGCTCATGGAATGGTACGTCCGCCCATTCTCGAACTCGTAGTCAAAAATGCTATAACGCAATGATATCAGCGAAGGTGCCGTCTGAGAAAAATTAGCAACGACAACGAAAGGTTTGGACGAGGAGCTCATCTACGTCGCACCTCGCTGAAAGTCGAGTCAACATCGGATGCGGCTTCATCGAAATCCGTGTCGCGCTCCTGAGCATGTACGTCATTATGCTGACCTGCCATGTTTACGATTCAGAACATGGAGCAACGGTCAGAAAGATACCATCATTTCTTGGTCACCATCAGAAATATTCATTGTCACAATTGATCAGCTCTCGGCCGCGATCCAAAAAAGGTGGATTCACACGGTCGCATTAGGCGGTGTCGTCGATTTGAGGAGCATCAGGGCGGGGGCTTTGGGAAAATGTCGAAATTCGCGAACGGATGATCGGGTAAATGGAAAAAACGTCCAGTATTCTGCGCCGCTGCCATACATGTGAGAACAAGGGTGGCGTGCTGCTGTTGGCTCAATTAAGCCCGCTGTGGGTTGCATCATCGTGCTGTGTGTGATGCTCAAATGTTCACCCTTGGCATTGGGCGCTTGCGGAAAGGCTTGGAAGTTTTGTTCGTAAGGAAGGCAATTGCTTTCTGGGTTGTCCTTCTGTTTTCTTAGATATACAAATGCTTCAGATGAACCGTAGTTGGAGCAGGGCTGGGGACGGCAATATGGGACTTCGCAAAGCCAGGCCTGTCTGGGAGCATATGAGCTGCAAAGTTCCACCAACTCCCAACAGACGGGCACCTCAGGTGTTCTGAATTGTCTGGCCGGTTGGCCCAATGGCAAGGCGTCTGACTACGATACACCGTGGAATCAGGAGATTGTGGGTTCGACCCCCATGCTGGTCAAAATCTTTTGCCTTTTGTGGATAAGAGCGTCTTAGGGTTGATCCTTTTTAAGTCCGAGGCCACATCCGGGCGCATGCGGGCACTAGACGGGATATGAGCCGGCTTGGGCCCACACTGAGGAAGAATGAAAACTTCCACTCGTAATAATGTCTGACGTAGAATCTTGAATCAAAAGGCTACGTATGAAAAATTTAAGTTACTGTCTAAGTAGGTGAAATGCGAAGTAGTCTATTTAAACCAGTGAACCCTGTTACTATGTGGTCAATCCCAAAAGCCTGGCCTATCTATTTTATGGATGCGCCCGGGAAGAACAGCCAAGTCACACCTCCCTCCCAGTCAGAGCATGACATAACAACTCACATCCCGTTCGCCTTGCACGGATCATCGACTATCATCTCATCAATCACCTGAGCACCAGGACCTCCAGGCGCTCCGAGCATGAGCATCTTTCCACCGTTGGCCTCTTGCCAACCAGCCTTCTCTGGAGCATCCAGGTTCTGTGCGAACCCCAACCACAAGTCCTGCATCGCTTCACTTGTCTGGACTTCATAATTTGAAGCAGCAGCTATGAAATCTCCCCTCGTACCAAAGATCTGAGGCAGTTCAGTCATGTGATATGCGCCGGCCCAGAAGTACGGACTGATATCAGTGAAGTTGCCGCTGTACAGGTACCGGTACGTCTTTCGCTTGGCGGCTTCTCGCATCCCGGCGGAGTGCGCAGCTGGGCATTGGAAAAGGGCCAGCGTAAGCATCTCGGACAGAGTGTCGTTGACACCCATATGCTCAGGGTTCTTTGGGAACGGGACCATGATGTTTCCTTCGCGCAGGTTGGAGCCGAAGATCGCGGGACGATCACTGATGAGGCCCTTGGCATAGCGATCTGTGTAGTTGGAAAACACCCACTTCTCGTCCGGAGTTGCGATGAAGTTCAGAGGTGGCGTTGCCATGGTGTCAGTGTAGTTCGCGAGGAAGTTGACGATGCGCTCAGTTGACTGGGAACGCATGCAAGCCAGCTCAGCATCCGGGACGGGAGGGCAGCCGAGTTCTTTCGCCACAAATGAGAAGTTGCTGTGCATGCGATCGAGTGTGGCAAGGCCAGTGGAAGGTGGAATCAAGACATTACCGCTGTCTTGGATGAACCCCTTGACGATGGGATCACTGGGGAACGCAAAGTTTTGCGCGTCTGTAGATGCAGCACCGGAAGACTGACCCCAAAGAACCAACTTGTTAAGATCACCACCGAATGCTTCAATGTTGTCCCTGACCCACTCGATGGCCATGCGCTGGTCCATGAGACCTAAGTTGGACTGCTTGAGGCCAGCGGCATTGGGGAAGCCAAAGATGTTCAGACGATACTGCACTGCCACAACAATGTGACTCTTGCTGCGCTGGATCCATGCCGGAGGTTGCTGCAGAGGCACAGACGAAGAACCAGTTTGCAGTCCGCCGCCATGAATCCATATGAAGACCGGTACTTTGTCGTCTTTGTTGATGTTTTTCGGCGCCCACACTGAGAGAGAGAGACAGTCTTCGCTGATCGGGGCGAAGTTGTTGTATTCGGTGACCGCGTCATTGATGATGTTATGCAAAGTGCTCACAAACTGAGGGCACGCATCAGGCGTCTTGGTCGCGTTGAAGGGTGCGTTGCTTGTATATCGCTGAGGTGGGAAAAATCGCAACTGGTGTGTCGCCGGCTTCCCATAACGAATGCCTAAGAACTGGCGAACGTCGGGATATGTTGAGTTGATGAAGCCCGTGATTTGACCTGAAGTTGTCTTTACCACCATGCCATCGCTTGGTGTTGGCGATGCGTTGGCAGCATCGAGTAAGACGCCTAGAAGACAAGCCGGAAAGTATGCGGAGACTCGCATGTTGGAATGGTTGACTGTGATCCAATAATTGGAAAATGTAAGCTGCTGTCTGGGAAGCTACTAGATTTTGCCGGAAAGTAGTTCTGGTGTCTGCTGATGTCTTGATCTTCTTATTTTGCAAAACCCAGCCCCCCAGATGCAAGCCCCAGTCTTATTATATCCCGTTACCGCATCGTGGACACAGAGCGACAGATACTTCTTTGGTTCGTGATATCTCCATCGCGCATAGCCATGATCTGAATATCCGAAGGCAGCTGCGTACCGGACATAACGTCGGGAAGGGTGGATCGTGATTGGCTGCTAGTCGAGGTGGTAAGAATTAAGAGCGCGTGTCGCAGATGGCGCCCTACCTTAGTGTCAAAGATCCCGAGTGGCTCAAAGCCTTAGGGTGCTGACGCTGACAATTTCATGGTATGAGCCGCGCGGATAATGCCCAAATCCTGCAACCTGAGAGTGCGCAGCTCCTGCTGTTTGGCTGTGCCGATCTGCCGATTGCCAGACCTCGTGGCCGCGGCCGGATTCACAGCCATCTGTCTCCGCGCCACTTTTATCAAATGAAAGCTGTTGGTCTCACAGGACCAGCTAGCTAGTAGGGCACTGTGGGCAGCAAATATTATATTATATTAACTGCGTTAGTGGTAATATATATAAGGTTAACTACGTTAGAGGCAGTAGCTGTAATTATAGTGTTAATCGCAGAGGCTAGTACCTTATATAATTACTAATTATATAAGGTATATTTAGCTTAATTAATGCTATAATAAGCTAGTGTTACTAATACTAGTAACTTTCTCTTTTTACTAGTATTAATATAGTTAATAGTAACTATAATATAATTTAAAAAGAAGTTATTAAATAATATATAATATAAAAAGCAGTAATTACTAATAATTATAGTAATTATTTATAATTATTTATAACTCTTATTATAGTAGTTACTTTATAACTATTACTTAATCCTACTTTAAGCTAGTATTAGTAATTAGTACTACTTAAGCTTATATAACCTATCTTTCTATCTATATTATTACTAAGTTTATATTAAAGAAGTATATAAAGTATTAGTTAGGTTTTATTTTAGTAAAGGTATTAATAAAGTTATTATTACTATTAATTTAATATATTTTATATAGCTTATAGTGTTTATATAACTACTATAGAGCTATAATATTAATTATTAAATACTTCTCTTTTATAATACTTAGCTTAATAAAGTATTTATATAGTAAATATAAGTTAGTATAGATAATAATAAATATTAGAAGTAAGTTAAGCTATTTAGTAATTATTTAGAGAGTTATAGAGATAATATAAGCTATATTAATACTAATAACTATATTATAAACTTTAGAGGCTATATACTTTAAGTAACTTACTTACTCTTTATTAAACTAAAGTAGATAATATTACTATTAATTATAAACTTATTTTTATTAGAAAGGGTTTTATTAATAAGAATAATAGTAAAACTAAGCTATAATATTAAGTTAGTATTATTAGTAAATAAGCTATTAATAAAGATAAAGAGTTTAGTAGTTAATAAGTTAATAGGTATAAATATTAACCTTTATATTAGTAAAGCTATTTATGTCAGCAACACCAGCCCATCGCAGCGTTAATTAAGCTAGGCGCACCTTACGTAATTAGCGATTACATAAGGCACTAGCCTCTGCGATTAACGCTGTAATTATAGCTACTACTTCTAACGTAGTTAACCTTATATATATCACTATTAATATAGTTAATATAATATAATATTTACTACCTATAGTACCCTACTAGCTAGCTAATCCTATAAGATTAATACTAATTAGTAGTTAACTTTATAGTTATTACTATATAATATATTAATTAACTATAGATTAATAAAGCTTTAAAAAAAGTAGTCTTATTAATATTTATTTAGATCTATTCTACTTAAAAACGCTTAATTAATTAACTTATACTAATAAAGTAGTTATAATTTTAAGAAAAGATAGCTTATATTACTTAAGCTACTTTAAACTTACTTTTTTCTAATCTCTAAGAAGAGTATATTAATACTAATATTACTAACGTTAATAAGATTAAGTAATATCTCCCTATAGTATTAATAATAATAAGATTATAATAATAGCTTTTATAGCTTCTAATCTTATACTTAATAGAAGTAGTTATAATATAACCTAAGGGATAATCTATTTTACTTAGAACGCTCTTAGTAATTACTCCTCTTTCTTACTTAAAGAGCGTTTATTATACGCTTAACCTTTAATATTAATTTTAGCTTATTAACTTATAATTAATAGTAAGGTTAACTACTTACTTCACTCTTAACTACCTCACTTAACCTCCTACTTTCTTATAAGTAGAGTTTTTATACTATATAAGTAAATAAGAGATTACTCTATTTTTAATAGCTTTTAACTACCTTCTTTTCACTAAGTTAATATTAATAGCAAATAGCTACTTTAAGCCTATTTAATA